GGGGCGGGTATCCGAAAAACAATTCAATTCGACCCGAGGAGCTGACGAAGGTTAATTCGTCTACTTCTCGTCGGATGAGAACAATCCCACGCGAGACGTGGCGCATTTCAAAGCAAAAGTTTTTGCGTGTACGAGAAAGAGAGAGAGAGAGAGAGAGAGAGAGAGAGAAAAGAGGTGACTCCCGGTCTTTTTAGCAGTGGCGTCACGAATGAAAAATGATAATGAGACGCACAGTGCTGTAGGTTAGTGAGAACAATAGCTCGCGCCTAATGAGCCGGGACGCATGCGGCTCGCGTGCTCGTGTAGTATAAAAAATTTATTTTCGGCGGCGACGCCGCCGGGAGAAGGCCGTGCGCCGAATGACGACCGCGCCGAATTCGTCCTCGACCGTGGCGGCGAAGTCGCGGCCGCTCTTCGGTCGCCGTTTCGCGTCGAAACGCGGAATTTCAATTTCTGTCGCGCGCGCGCGCCCCGGCGTTCGGCGGCGTCGTTTCTCGCACGTGTCGTCGCCGTTGACAGCGCGCGATCCTCGCCGGCGGCCTCGCCGCGCGTCCACCGATCTCGCGAATGTAAATAACCCGCCGACGTAATCTCTCGTCGTAATCGCGTTTACACGGCGATATTTACACTGCACGGCGCGCGATACACGCGAGGATCTGAGACGAATAATTTTTATTCAGCTGGCGAGCCTCACGTTCTTCGTGACGAAACGTTAATACCTCGCGGATGAAGACGCAAAGATCGGTGCGTACAATATATTATCCGCGAGTATATTTTCGCGAGTCGCGCAAACGCGGTAGGATTTCGCTCGCGCGAGTAAACGCCGGGAGATCGGTGAACGATGATCGGCTTCCAGCAAACGGTACGCGGTGTGCATCCCACCGCAGCGGGGGCATTATCGGCGACGAGTCACGAACGGGTCTCTCTCTCTCTCTCTCTTTCTCTTGGGTGCGCGCGATCGGGAACCGGTTGGACGAAACTTTCGAAAATTCCAGAATGACGTAGTCTCTCCTGCTCTCGGCGGGTGTGCGAGCGCAGCGGGCGAAGACACACGGCCCCGCGGCTTCTCTCATTCTTTATTTACAGTTACTTACGTAACGAGAGTCTCCCCCCCCCCCTCCTCTCTCTCTCTCCCTCTCTCCGTCTCTAGATCTGTTCGAGGTCGATTCGACTCGACTGACGCCCGAAAATTCGTGCATACAGAAAAGAAAAAAAAACGCGCGTGTACGAAAACAGTCGCCACATGCATCGCGCGTGCACTGCAAGCAAGCGAAAATGTTGCTCACTTACCTCGTTTCTCGGACGAGCCGTTGCTCTACCTAGGACACTGGCAAGAAATCACTAGGCGATTCAACAGCGCGCCGGTGAACCGCACCGGGGGACAAAAACCCAAGGCGGCTCGTTGTAAGTCACGGCGAGAAAATAACTCGCCCCGTGATAACTCTCGCGTAGAGCGAGCGCGGATTCGCGCGGTACCGCGACGGAAAAAGTCGTTTGCGCGGCGACTATCGCCGCCGTGGAGAAAAATGAATGCGGGATGAAACTCATGAAACGATCGATTGAATTACGCGCCGACGAGATGGTCGGATATCATACGCGGATATTTGCCAGACATCTGATCGTTAAAAAGAAAATAACAATAAAAGAACTTTATATTCAACCGAGCGAGTTCTGCGATCGTCGTCTCCTGTTTTTCGCGATATATTACAAAGTATAATTGCCCGCATCCTTAATAAACGTATATAATTATCTCAATACATAATCAGGAAAATAATTCGTTTCCGCGAGGCACGCGCATGCTTTCGCGTAAGCGTATGTAAAATTTTTGATAAGTATGAAGATGGCATTCGCGATAAGAAAGTTAAATGTACTCACGTGCGCTGCGTTAAATGATCGACGGCGGTGGAACTCGGCAGTTCGTGGAGAACACCTGGTTCTGGTAGGACGACTGTCTGATCACGATTCTCTGAAAATTATGAAAATTCATCATTAAGCGCGGTTTTCCTCAAAATCGACGTAAGACAACTCTTGACATCTTTGATAAAAAAAAAACTCGCAATAATTTCCATACTTTTATTTAAGTGCGTTTTTATAATTTTATATTTACTTTTGAAATAAATGATTCGAGAAAGTATTTATTAATTTAAAACTAATACATATAACAATTATTCATTTTAATACGTTATTATCAATGTTATCGTTATTGTTTATTACTTTTGTACCTTGAACGGAGCTCTTCTCCGTCTCGTCTTCGATGAAGCGACAATCGCGCTCAAATCCGTCCGTCAGTTGCCCAGACACCCTCCAGTCGTGTATCTCCTTCCGTAAAATGTAAATCGGACCATTGTTGCCCGCGCTGGCGACGCTGATGGTCTCGTCGGACAAGCGAACTTTGTGTTTCACGTCGTCGTCGCGTACCATTTTATTTTCCCTCCACGAAAGAGGCCGCCGCCCGCGGGGACCTCGCGGCTTCGTCGCGCAACTTTTTACGACGTCCCCGTCCTTCGAAGACCGCGTCTTTTGCGGCGGCGTTCCTGCGGATGCGGACTTTTTCCCGTCGAGTATGGACCTCGCGCGACGCTCGGAGGAAATGTTTCTCGAGGACGCGTCGACGGTAGCTGCAGCCCTTCCACGACCGCGATATTTAACTCCCTGAAATATTGAACGGCGTGCATTAATTACACTAGCAATGCAAAGTATACAGAGATCGAGGGTGTACAGTCATATATATGAATTGACACGATATAATAAATAATGAAAACAATTCTATATGTAACATTAAAAAATACGGTACATTTAATTCAATTTAATTTATCGAATAAATTTCAAAACAAAACTTCAAATACAAAATACTGTATATATGTATAATTAAAATAACAAGATATAAATTATTATTTATAAATTATTATTATAAATTAAAATAACAAGATATAAATAATTCTGATATTTAAAAAAGCATTCTGTTGCAACAAATTATTAAAGGATGAAAAACCGCGTGATATTCTTTAGATTATTTCTCTGAAATACCACATCTGTCAGAATCAAATTGTAACAATTTAATTTTTTCATGAGGGGCATATTACATATAATATTGATTAATATAATAATGCTATACTTTCGAATATCTTAACATATTGTGACATTCGCCGTGAAATGACTCCGCGTGAAAAGTCTCTTTAACGAAAGACATATCGAAAAATAAAAAAAAGGGAAAAGAAATTAAATGCAAATCGGCGTGAATCGCTATAACTTACAATCATGTCAGTGACGCAGTGGCGACGTGTCAGCAACGGAGGTTATAAATCTACGGCGGAACGTTGCGGCGCGAATTAACGTGGTAAACAATCGCGCGATACATCATCTCCCTTCCCCGATATTAAAAAAAAAAAAAGACGAAGACGTTTATTTATTGTTAATTAACGCGTGGGATTCCGCGACGTTGGAAAAAAGGCCCACGCCGCGGGCGAACGAACTGACAACGTGTGCAGCGCGCGTTTGTCAGGCGTGTACACGTGTAAACGTGCGTTGTACGTACAGCGCCGCGTCTCAGGTGTTTGTCGGGCTCGCGCGAGAGATACCCTCGGCTCTGTCAGCTGTCTCGCCGGGCTCGCGCTACCGTAACGAAGACAAAACGTTACGGAAAGATGGAATCGTGCGGAACGGACGCGTACGGGAAGTACGGGAACCCGGCTGAACTGGCGAGCGGCGAAACCCCCTAGGCCCCGCTCTCCTCCCCTTTCCGACTTGACGCTCGATTTTCCGCCATCGGCGCGAAGTAGAGGATCCAAGTCGATAAGAAGGATCGAACTGAAAGATAATAAAGCCTCGTCCCGTAAAATCGAACCCGTTCCGAACGATCCATCTACGTCTCTATATTTCGTGTCAAAATTCGACACGGTGCACGCGACGTTCTATTATTTTCTTATTTGCGTAATTTATTTGTAACATCTGTAAAATTGACGCTACGTGTAATATGAATTTAAATACATGGATATACAGAATAGCAAATATATCAAAACGCACGTGAGACATCTTAAATCACAGAAGCATCGTTTTTATTCTTACTTATTATTAGATCGATTGACTCGTGGATCGTCTATAAAGTGGAGACTTTAAGAGACAGAAGGAGATTGAGATAAGCGATTGCCTTCGAAAGTGACTTTCCTCGACAAAAGAACCTCTTTCTTCATATTTGGCATCGAAACTGCTTCGCTTGATAAAATACCTATAATGTCGCGCGGCGCATCGAGTCGTCGTTTCGGAAACAATATATGACGCATACATAATATGTATATATATATATGATAGGCGATCAATGACGCGGGCCCTTTTTCGTGCCTCGATCCGGCGTCGATACGGCGCATCTGCCGCTCGTTTCCTGATGCGGCGCGCGGCGGGGACACATTCCCGCCGCGGATATCGCCGATTTCCAGAAACGGCGATCGCTGGACGACGACGGCCGTTTGACTTTCACCCCGCGCGCGCCGCGTTCGGCGATCCCGCCCAATAGGTTTCTCCGCGAACTCACCTTCTGAAATGCAGCTGCGGCTCTCGGCGGCAGCGGCAGCTGGATCCCCGAAACTCCGCGCGCGCGAACGCGTCTCCTGTATATATCGTTTACTCTTTCGTGCGCGCGTACGCGCCACGATCTCTTTCCCTCCCTCCCGAAGCGGGGCGAGTCCGCGAATCGATATAAGACGCTCGTCGGGGGCCGAGTGACGTACGCCAGCGTTTCTCGATGTGCGCGTTTGAAAATTCCTCGAAATTGACGAACGATATCTGTACGAATAAATGCCGAGGGGATCCGCACTGTTTGCCGGGATGGTCATTCTCGACGGTGGCGGTGCTGGCGGTTTGAAATTTCATTCAAACGGCCCCGCGTTGCCAACCGCAGGAATTGGAAGGGGAATTGCCAACCGCTCGAGTGGAAATCCGTAGTGACTAGTGATTTAAGAACGCGCCAAGGGGTGCCAATCTTGGAGCATGCAAATGAACGCATAAAGAAAAATGCAGGCTGCAACTGTTTTTAATTGCTTTGCCTTGTAAAAGCGGCTTGTAATGAATATGTATAAAATGAAAATTTAATGCAGCTAAGTAATTAGATGACAGCAGAGAGTTGTACGTACATGGGAATTAGAGATTATTTTTTTTTATATTCTCGTCATTGTTATATTTTCCGACGTTCCTAAAACACCTCGCTCGTGACTGTATACATATACGTGTGCACGTGCGCGTTCCTAACCTCGAAAGCGCGGCCGTGGGTGGGAGTCCGATGTGACGTTTTGCACGGAAGGCCTAGTGGAAATTAATAAATATATTTTTTACGCAAATACAATTGAGCTCTGACAATGGCGATGCAAGTCCCTTCCGACGTTGATGCCGATCAGATTAAATCAGTATGTATTTTTTCAGTGCTCGAACAATATTTTTGCACACACGCTGCAAGCGGTCGAGAATGCCCGTTAAAAATATGTAGCGATGAAAAAATTATATGCGAGTTATATGCCATTATATTTATATCCTCAACTAGATAAGACTATTACGCGAGCTCGATGTAACCTGAGTACTTATGTTTTGCGTTCAACAGTTTCGGGACTTCTTAACGTCGTACAACAAGCTCTCCGAGATCTGCTTCGTCGACTGCGTAACCGACTTCACGACGCGCGAAGTTAGGCCCAAGGAGGAGAAGTGCGCCCTCAACTGCATGGAAAAGTATCTGAAGATGAATCAGAGGGTGTCGCAGCGTTTCCAAGAGTTTCAAATAACTGCCAATGAAAATATCCTGGCAGCTAAAAAACAAGGTTAGACAAAATTTACTCGACGAGTCAAAAGTATAGGTAAAATGATCTTGAGCGTCTGTCCAAATCTTCGTGCTGCAATGTCATGAGATTGCAACAAACATTTGTAAGCTTCTTGAATATACATCTCTGTACGATAGTCCAGATCTATTTAATATCCGCATAAATACTTGTTCAAGATTTAAAGTTTTTATTTTGAAATTAAAAAACATCGATTGTACAATAAATTATGTACTATAATATACTGTAATATAAAATGTTAAATAATATAAATTGTGAAAGCATGATGGAGTTGATATACATGTGTTGAATATAAATAAATTTGTTCCTTCTTTAAATATGAACATGGAAGTGAATTCGAACTCTCTGAGCTAATTAGTCTTACAATTAGATGTACTATAATTTGTCTCATTTTTATAACATTTGCTTATAAATATTGCAATTTTTGCAATATCGATTTGTAATTAATATACGAATAACTATAAATTTATCAATTAGAGGTTGCAGTAAAATAACTTATTTAGTATATTACAGTTCTTGTAGAATCTCTTTGTGTCATGTGATTATTACGAATATTAACATTTCCTAATACTAATAACGTAAAGAATCTGTACAGAAAACTTGCATATACGTACACACACCCATATGCACATTCAGAAAAAAACAATGATAATATACGTATATATCTAACGTATTACGTATATATATATATATATATATTTAACTAGATTTGGAATGTCCAAAATCAGAAAACTTTGGCTTCCCTTGTACTTCAATGTCCATGCTCTCGCTTTCCCATTCCAACGACGACAACGTTTTTACGTTTGCTTGTACGGAGCCGATGTTGCTCTCCGTTTGATTTACGATTTGCGGACTGAAACTCATGCCGGAGATCTGAGGAGGCTCCTCGGTCTGCATCGCGGAGTCCGAGTTCGGCGAGTTCGGCGGTGTTTTGCGCAGCCTCTTGTAGTCCGAGAGCCTGTTCAACGACACCTGGTCCACGCAGACGGCCTGCGTGGTGTGCCGCGTCTTGTACAGTATCGGGCAGCTCTGATCGCCCTTCATGCTCAAGCTGTACAAATTGGCGAGGCGACGCAGCTTCTCGCGCTCGGGCTGTCGCATAGGATGGAGCTTCAGCTCGCTCTGAGTGGGATCCTGCAGGAATCGCGAGACCTTCTCATTGGCCGACGTTATGATGGAGTAACCGGGCTTGTTGTCGACGTGACGTCGCCCGGCGCGGATCTCCCTGCCGCTCAGGCCCTCGCGGATGCGTTGTATTCTCTGTCTGTAGTTCTTCTTCGCCTCCGCGACCGAGTGCTCGCCGTGCAGTATCATTTGGAAGGCCGTGTCCGCCGTGGCTTTGTCGTCGCTCGTGCTCTCTCCGTCGTCCCGCCAGCTCGACTCTCCGATCCAATCCGACTGCTCGTCGTCTCCTGCAAGAAATTAATTATATAATTTGTAGATCATATATTGCGTGGTATATTCAACTCTGCCTCTGAATCACCGGTACATACCTTCTCTATCCTCGTCGTTTGTAATGAGACCTGCCTCCGAATCACTGGACGAAATGCTGGAGCTGGATATACGAGAGCAATCCACCGTGTCCTCGCCTTGCATCTTATCCCGATTTTTTGGCTTTGCATTTTTTGTTGGTTTAGACACCCTCATCTCGCAGTCTATCGAACGCTCCCTGCACGATCTCTTGCGTTTTCCGCACCTGCAGGAACGAGAAAATTGGGCGAGTCAATTCACATTGCTTTTCATTGCGCGAATAGAAGAATGTAATTTGGACTATTATTTTTCTCACCATATAGCGCTGTATCTATTTTTACAATCGCGAAAGATACGTTTCTTCCCGCCGAATGTTGAAGTCGACATGATCGCCACCGCTTGAGAAGTGGACGCGTTGGAGTCGGAATCGATCGCCATTCTCTTGAACTTCCTCTTGCGTCGGGTGTTCGCTCTTGGCACAAAATTTTCGTTCACCGAGTCGCTCTCGATGTTACTGACGTTATTCAAATTCGGGAAATGTGCGAAGCGCTTGGTCTGATTGGTATCGTCGCTGTCGGACTGATACTTCGAAACGTTGGCAGTCTTTGGAATGCGAATCTCGCAAATGGAAGATGAGCTGTCGTCCGAATGTTTGTTCATGCTTAAAGCCGCTGCAAAAGAAAAATACAACTCTACGTTAATTACTTAACAATCACTTGGTAACGTGCGTTACTTCAGCTCTCGACGATTACATGCAGGCGATTGACTTGTTTAGCTTCTTTTTTTTCTTTCTGTAGGAATTCTTTTCCAAGATAATCTTGACAATAATTCCGACTGCGCCTCGCAGAAGTAAACTGCAATTTAATCGTCGCGTAGGTGCAATTAACAGCGCGCTCAAGATCACTCCTGTTATTATTTTTTATAACGTCAGTCGAATGACTTGCTTGAAATTTAATCTTTCCAAAACGTAAACGATACATCGAATGATCGAACTGTTCGCCCTTACACTTACGAATATTCCCCGTGGAACGGGCCCTCCTCCGGATGCCCCATCTGCGCCTGAGATTCGCACTGTTGCTGCTCTCCTCCAGTGCCAAAGTCAAATCGTGCACAAGAGCCTCCATTTTTACTCTTAAATCCGCCGGTACAGCCTTCAGAACACGCTCCATTTGAAGGACGCGTTTTTTGCTGCAAAAAAAAATATCGGTCAAACTTTATATCCCTCGCTCGATCGACGACCCCCTTTAATCGTAGCTTGCAATTAATAACGAGTACATTGGAGTACGCGACGCGAATCATCTCTCGATGCCGACGTTCGACTTGTCGAATTCGTTTAAAAAAAAATTACATAAGTACAGCTCTACGATCCGCGTCTCGCTCGATGCGCGTACATTTCTCAGATTTACACGGCAATCAATATTCGTGACGTCGATCTCGCGACTTCCGACGAGGAAATAATTTCGTTCACGAGCTTGCCTATATTCACATCTGATCCGGGTATTGCCTTCTACGGCGTGGATCCGTGCCGGACGAGTGACGCGACTAATTCGCGATCCATTCTCGGGCGATCTCCGGCGGAGAGGAGTAAAAATGCGACCGCCGCCGGCCGGATCTCTCTCTCTCTGGCTCTCTCGTCTCTCAGCGTCTCCGGCGAGGCGGACGAAAGACGGGAAACGCGCGGCGGCGAGGCACCGAAAAAAAGAGAGGTGCCCACCGGGACGGGGCCGTGTGTGTGGTATGTACATCCGCGATACATACGTCAATCGCCCCGAGGAGGGGGTCAAAACAAATCGCGATTGCGTCGGGCCTTTTAACTCTCGCGTGCGATGACAACATGTACGTAATATCCTGCCGCTGCTCACCTCTTACAAGTAATGTCCATGAGTCTCGCCTCAGAACTGTCTCATTGTCAAACCACTCGGTCCCCCGGGCTCGTTCGACCGACGAGTGAAACGGGGGGGAAAAAAAGGGGGCAGGATCGCGGGGCTGTCGAGAGTGTGTCGGGGTGAACGAGGATGTATACGCCGTACTGTTTTCCACCGTAGCGTATGCCCGATCGCACGTCACGTACGAAAGCGTTACAACGAACGGGTACGTACGGTTTGTTTGGTGCACGCGATCGCGGACGACGCGGACGGTGTCGGTCGCTTCATGAGAACCCGTCCTCGATCGCCGACTCCTCGCCGTTCCATTCGCGATAGATAAAGCGTTTTTTTTTAATTTCCAGAGCAGCTGCGCCTCCCCACCGTCTAAGAATGTTAGACAGTAGAAAAAAGTATATCGTGAGAACAATTGAATTTGAAAATAATAATGCGGAAATAGAGAATGGCAATTAGGAGGAAATAACAAAAGAAACGACGGGCGTTCTCGAAGGTCTAGATTCAGCTCGGATTAACTCGATCTCGAATTAATTACTTAATTTTAATCGGTGATTAAACTTTGCCGAGTAATATCTGCAATATTTTATTGACAGAATTACGAATTTCCCACGCAGCATGAAATATTTCTTGTGAATCTTTTTTTTTTAATGTTTCAAATTAATAAATATTTCAGAAATATATATCACAAAAAAATTTGAAATATTTCAAGCCTGCACGATAAAATATCTCGGAAATATTTATCTCGTATCTCATTTCTGACATGTAATATTACTCTGCATGCTGTGTGGGAATTGTTGTTCGATACGTGAGAAGAAAGATTATTAGATCCAGAGACGGCGTATAAAAATTTAATTAAAGATCTAATTAAATCGTCAGATTAAAATCACCGATTAAACTCATCGGGTTTTAATTTCTTAATTCGTTTTTTTTTTGCATGCATTTTACGATGGCATATAAGCCGTAAAAAGGGACGTTACAATTTTCTCTCCACAACAATAGGCTTTTAGTCTGCTTTATCTATGCAAGTTCATCTAAATGAGAACGTTTAACATAATTTTCGTCGTGAAAAAATTCCATCACACGCCAGCCGCGTTCCGAAAGTCACTGCGAGTGGGGGGTGGGGGGGATCGGAGGACAGCCGCCCGCGAGCGCGCGTGCGCAGGCTCAAAAATATCCAGGCGGCGCTTAGAACGCGGCATGAGGCCTGGCCTGCCGCCCTCAGCAGCGCAGCCATTTCCGGTACTCTGTCGCGCAAGATAGACGCTTCGCGAGTGCGATTTCCGAGGCTCCGGGCGACCGTTTCTTCCGCACGGAATTCGCGTGCCAACCGCGAGCTGCAACACGACAGCCCGCGGCGGTCTTCTCGTCGCGCGAGTGGCGCGGGCGTAATGCGCGTTCGCTCGCGGACGTGTCCGGCGACGACGAGCGGCCGATTGTGTAAATAGCGCGTAGTGGCCGTCTGCGCACGGCCGGTGCGCATCCGCGGCGCGGCCAGATGAGCGCGCGATCGCGGCAGGTAGGACGCGAGGGTCGCGCGCGAGGGAAGTAGCGAGTGAGGAGGACGTAGAGTGCGGACGCGAGTGAGAAGGAGCGAGAGAGAGCGAGTGAGGGGGGGAAACGGAGGAAGAGGAGCGAGACGGACAGAAGAGTAGCTGGCGTACTTGCGACAATCGCCGATCTGTTTGACCGGAGCTCGAGAGTGAAGTTGACGAGAAACGGTGTAGCGCCAAGTGTGATCCAACTGGCGCCGATCGGGGTGCGCAAGACGCGACGGTTAATTCGCGAGGACATCGGCGGCCGCTTCGTCGTGATGGACGGCGCGAACGTGAATGGCGGGAACGCCGCGGTACCGCGCGAGGTTCCTAACCTCGAAAGTGGCGGCGGCGGCGACGGTGGAGTCGGCAGTGCGGCGGTCGTGCCGATGGCAGAGATGACGCAGGACTCGGGCGACAAGGCTGGCGGTAACGGAGACGCGCAGGAGATCAACGGCGAGCTGAGGGGATCGCCCAGGAAACACAGCGCCCCGCATCCCCGCAGGAGGATGAGAAAATTCAAGGCCAACTCCACGGGCGCTATGGAGGTCGACGCGGTGGAGACGGCGCCCGGGACGAGGGGGCGCAAGCGCAAGCTCTCGGAGTTCGAGGACGCCAGCTCCGAGGAGTTCGAGGAGTTCAACGGCTTTGCCGCCCAAGGGCTCGAATTGCAACCGGGCAGTAACGTTCTGAAGAAACTTATTGGTAGGATATGTTGTGATTCGTTGTGTACTCTTGATTGTCGACAATAAGGTAGACGTTACATCTTAAAACATAATTTTATCTACTTCCTTAACATCTTTTGAAATTGGATAAATTGAGAGAGAGAGAGAGATTGGAATTCTCAATAAAGATTTATCGAAAGATTTCTTTGCTTACTTTCGACAGTCCAGGGAAGACGTGTTGCTCATATACATGAAATCTCTGATACTGAGAAGCTAAACCAAGCTAAAATTTAATTTAAAAATTGTGAATAAAATATAGATAAGATATATACATAGTGTACAATGAGCAGTAGCTGTAATACATGGCCTACAATAGTATAGACTGTAAACCTTAAGAAACTGATTAATACACAGTCAAATGCGAAGAAAATTAACTGCGATTGGTTCTACAGTCTACTGTTACTGTCCATTGTAGACCATATATATAATACGTCATCTACAATGGATATCGTGGACTCGAACGCAAGTTCCGAAACACAATAGGTGTAGCGAACCTTAAGTCGTGAGAAATGGGCCAATTGCAGTCGAATGTGAAGAGAATATGATTATGATTGGTCAATTTCTTACGTCTTAAGGCTTACTACATCTATTGTTTCTGGACTAAGGAGAATTTAATTTTACAGCTTAAATATGTCTTAACACCTACTTCTTAATAAACTATCACTATTGCCCATCATAGATAACATAAGAAATTGCCAACATAGCAGTCAAATGTAAAGAAAATAACCGACTGTGATTAGTTAATTTCTTATGACTTACAGTCTATTGCTACTGTCCATTGTAGACCATGTAATAAAGAAACATTGATAATTAATCTAATAGGTTTATTGTTACTTTTTTATATGATATAATCAGCGATTATTTTATTCAAAATCAGTTACTGTTTAAAATAGTCCAATATATGTATATATTTATATACATATAATTATATAGAATATAATATGTATATGTATGTCATATAATGTATAATTATATTATACAAAATTTATACATATATATGCATGTATATATGTAAATATATGAATTTTATATGAATTAATATTATATGTATTATGAGAAAAAATATAGTTTTTAGTACATTGTAATAATAATAATAATAATAATCTGTAACGCTTTATGAACAATAATTACCAAATTATATACCATGTCATTAACTAACAAAAGCAGAATATAATTAATTGTTACATATTATATAGACAATATAATAAGAAATTAAATTTGAAACAGTTTATTTTACATTTTATACATTATAGAATGATAATTATATTTTTATTAAAATAATTTTTGCATTAGGAACTCAGACTGAATTTAATTTACTTTATTACAGCAGAAGCAGAAATAGCAGAGGCACAACTTACAAAACGTGTAAGATATTCAACGAGGACTTCAGATGCTAGAGAAAAGTTGGATGATAAAGATTTTGATGATTTGAACATGAGAACCTACGTTTACGAAACAGACAGTTTCGAGCATTTGGATATAACAAAGATGAAAAAGGAAAAGGAATCCGACAAATCCGAAACGGATTCGATTGATATACCAAATAGCATAGATTCCGAGGTGGAGCCAAACAAAGTTGATATAACTTCCATTAAATCCACAAATTCGTCGGCTGCAAGTAGTCCCTCTGCCACATCGCAAAGGTCTAAGGGTAGCCTTATTTCTGGCGGTGCCAGTCCGGGAGGGAAGCAGAAAACTCCTGTTGACATGTCGAATCCTTTATACAAAGAACCATTTAAATATGGATGGAAGCGAGAATTAGTGTTTAGAGCTAGTCATGACTCTTCCTTCAAAAAAATGGCTGATATATATTACTACACACCAAAGGGGAAAAAAGTGCGGAGTTTTAGAGAGGTTGCGGAATCTCGTAAGTATGCAGAAAGAGAGAGAGATATATAATTGAATTAATTATAGATCAATTATAGATACATTAAAATTACAATTTTTATTACAGTTAATTCGAAGGAATTGACCATTGACAATTTCACATTCTGCAAAGAACCTCTTGGGCTTAATGATCCTGAAAAGGAGGTTATTCGAGATGCTAAAAGATTACGAGTATGTTTTCGGCTTTCATATTTTTTCATTTATTGTAAAATATCGCCATGATGTATTAATTTTTAATTGTCTTCACTCACTTGAGCTGGTAAATTTTTTTAACAAAGATTTATTTATTGGACATTACAGGGATCTGTGGGATCTGCAAAGAAGTATAACAGAAAAGCTACACCAATAAAAAAGACAGTACAGGAACCAGTGGCAAAGAAATCGGTACAAGAACCTGCGACAAAGAAACACGAACCTGGCACGTCGAAAAAACAGCCGGCACAAGAACCACCTGCTCCTGCACCTACACTTCCTGAAGTTTCAAAACTTGCTCCCGCACCTGTGTCGGTACCTACAAAAGCAGCTAAATCGACAAAAGCCTCTCCAGCATACAAAACAAAAACGATAAAGAAAACTCCTCAGATAAGTACGTTCGTACA